TCTTGAAATGAGGAGATTATCCTGGATTATCTGGGTTAGCCCTAAATGCTACTGTTCTTAAAAAGAGAGGGAGAGGGAGATTTGACACAGACAGAAGAGGAGAATGCAGCATAAACACGGGGGTAGAGATATGAGTGATGCAGCCACTAGCCGAAGATGGGCACCTGCCACCAGAGCTGGAAGAAGGAATGGATTCTCTCCAAGAGAGCCCCTGGAGGAAATGCATTCCTGATGATACCTTCATTTCAACCCAAGAGCCAGTGATACTGATTTCAGACTTCTGGCTTCCAGAACCATGAGAGAATAAATATTTGGTTGTTTTAAGCCACCCAGTTTTGTGGTAATTTATTTCAACAGCCACAGGAAACTAATACAGGATTCAAAGAACTGATGGCATTGCTATAACTCCTCTCTCATCTACTTATTACAGGAACATGTTTTTCAACACTAATATCTGTAAAATATAAGAAAGGGGAGATAAAATTTTTGCCAATCCTGTCTCACCCTAGTAGAAGAATGACCCTTCCTTATTACTTATTAAAAGATGAGGAAAAAAAAATAATCAAAACTCTCTACAGTTCATAATACAGAGATGAATTTCCAATAAAAAATGCTTTTAAAGATGTTACTCTTTATATTTACGACTAAAAAAAATGTGAAGAAGTTACTTATTTCTTCAAGGAAAATTTAGGGTGTATGATCTCATAAAGAGAAACACCACCGTAGATACTCCTCATGTCTGCCCTACATGCAATTCAAAAAATAGTCTCAATAACAGTTTATTTTATTAAATTCTAAAAAAAGTTCATTGTGCTACTAAAAATTATCATAAAATTTACCTTTCCATCAATTTGCACTCAATGTTCTAGCTCCAAAATTCCCATAAATTATTATTTAAACAAAGAGGGATGGTAAATGTGTAATATTTCTATCCTTATTTCCATTTTGTTCTATTATTTTTATCCTCAACCACGAATAACAAAAACAAAAAAGAATAAAGAAAAGACCTGTTCATAATTTTTTTTCTAACTCTGGAGAAAATTTTTGCCATATGATCAAAACTATAAAGGACAGAAAAGCAATGATGTGACTATGACTGTATCCTTACCTAGACCTATGTGAGGCAGGTGCTCAAAAAGGGTCCAGCTGTGGTCATCAACGTAATGATTCTTCAGGATCAACAGCTGGCACACATCTCGGGCGGTTATGTCACTGGGTACCTCTAAAGCCCTGCTGGTTTCATCTTCACTGTATACTTTAATTACCTGTGTAGGTAGAAATAAGAAAATGAGCTAAAATATTCTATTACAAATATGATCATAGTAAGTCATCAAAATTAGTGGCTGAGCTGATTGCAAATTCTTTACACAGTTTCCTGTACAGCAAACTTATTTATACATTAAATGAATGTTACTTTTCCCAAGACTTTTTTATAACGTGTCAAAGTCACTTTGTCCAACAACTTCCACTATCTGCTGGTGGTCAATCATCATTTAATGTCCTTTCCCTAAGACTCTGCTAAGTATTAAAAAGCTAAGTATCTCTTTTCAATATTTTAAATTTTCATGCCATAATTAAATCCTGTAAATAATCCAAGTAACATGAATTATTTATTCCTGGATATACTCAAATAGTAAAAGCAATAAATAGAATCAGACATTTTGAAAAGATTTCTCCATTTCAGGCACAGAAGTTTTGCCAAAGACCTGCTAGATGTTCAAATCTTTTTTCTTTTCTCCTTCGCAATTAATTGTGCATGGGACTGTGTTTTTATCAATGGAATGTAAGCACACACAATGTTGCATTTCCAGACCTAGTCCATAAAAATCTCCCACATATTGTCCTCCATTCTCTTTCGTCACTCTCACATTGAATGGAAATGAGTACAAGGACCTAGAGGAAAGGAAAACCATGGAACAAAATGATGCTTTGTCCCTGAATGACCACATGAAAGGTGCCCAACTAGAAACAGCCATTCAGTTCATTGACATGAACAAGAAATAAACTTTTATTATGTTAACTCACTGTGAATTTGTACTTATCTATTGGAGTAGTTATACTACCCTAAGTTATACAGAATTAGAGTTTCATATACAGCAGTTCTCTCAACATTTACCAAGCTGTGCTTGGTGCCAGAATTTCCGCTATTAATTACATTATATTATAGATTAATTAAAATAATTATAAAAAGATAAATAGCCATGTCAATTTATAATAAGATAAATACACCCACTTAAAAGTAAGAAAATTCAACATATACAAAAACGCAGCCATTTGAACATTTTTAGTAATTTGGACAAAGGCAAATGAAAGTGATTTATCAATTCTGTCCTATGCATTTTTTTAAATTACACTTAATGACAGTAGAATGAAACAGTTGCTCTCTTACAATGACAGTGATATAAACTGGAGAATTATTTTGTACACCTGTTGGAAAGTATTTATCGAAAGCATCGAAAGGTTCATTACTTTGATCCAGTGATTTCAGTTAGGCAAACTCTCTCGATAAGTCTATCCTAAATGTGGAAAATGAATGTAGGCATAGACATGTCCAGCAAAGCACTATCTATCTATAATTCTATCAACCTAAATATTCAACAATGAAAGCATGGTAAACTATATTCACAGAATGGAATACTATATGATCCTTATAAATGTTATTTTAAAAAATGATATGAAAACTTTAAAAATTTTTTAACTAAAATAAAATCAGGACCTAGAAGTATATGCTATGTGGTACTGTGCAAACTTACTTGTTGAATTTGGCTACCAGGCACCCACCCCTCTTCTAACAGTATTCTGGTTGCCTTTTACAGCATCACTTCTTTCCTCACTATAAGTCCTCGTGATTTGGCAGTTCCACCTTCAGCTAGTGACGGTGTACTGGAGCTGCTGGAATTGACTTGGAAGAACTGATTATTAAACATTTAGGAACTTTGCAAGCTAGGCATCTTGAAATCAGCCATGGTGAGAGTACGGATAGCAAAGAAATGGACAAATGCTACAAGTAAGGCCTTTTTTAAAAAATTTCATTTTAGAGCCAGTTTTCCAGTGCACCACTGCCTCAGCTCCAGATAGAAGATATTATCCAGATTGATTCATCAGTACTCAGAATCCCCCTAGCAACAATGACTACTTCAGAGATGGGTAAATGATCTCATTAGAGCCAATCAGAGCCAATCCGGTATTTGCCCACACAGCCATATAGTGGGCTCTCTCTTCTGCTGGGCAGATGTAGGGCGATGCTGCCACTATTCACAAAGAGAAAGACTGGGAAAATGGGGCCCACATGGAATTAGGCATGCCAAGTCCTAAGAGTCCTGAGAATATCGTTGAGCTCCTAGATCAAGGAGCATTTGAATTCTTTGTGTTTTTATCATATGTGTCCCTTGAGGCTATAAGCTTCTAATGGTAACACCTTCCTATTTATTTCCTTTGTTCTAGCCATGGAGCCCTTCAATTCATTCTCCATATTGCTAGCAGAATAAATTTTATAACAGCCAATCCAATCAGGTCACTCTGCTAGTAAAACTCTTCAGTGGCTCTTCATTGTCCTAACTCAAGCAGCTCATTATGTTTATTAAGATGCTGTGTAAGGTATAGGTCCTTTGCTAAGTGTTTTAATATAAACCTGTCACAGACAGAGATGTTTGTTCTCTTCAGAGAGCTTAAAGTCTAGCAGGGAAAGCAGTACTGAAAACAATAATTATAAAGTAGGCCATAAAAGTGCAGCATGTCACTAAATTATAAAAGGGGGGTTAGAGAAGGCCCAAAAAATTTCCGTGAAAAAATAACATTTAAGCCAAGACCTGAAGGAGGAGTGGACAGTAGCTAGGCAAAGAGAGGGTAAGAGCATTTCAGGCTGAGGGAACAGAAGCTGTGCAAAGTCCCTGGGACTAAAAGGAACTCAACAGGTTCTAAGGACTCAGAGGAGTCAGGGATGGCAGGAGCAGCAAACAGGGAGCACGATCCTAAGGAAACTGAGTAGTAAGCATGATGGTGGTGCTAGGGATGTAAGAGCCTAAGTTCAAAACTGACTTGAGAATCATTGAGCTTATAGGTGCTAAACAAACTCATGGACGTAGATACATCTGACAAGGAAGAAAAAAAAAGGACAAAGAGCAAAAGAGAATCTAGGACTGAACCCTAAGAAATTCCAATATTTAACAGTGAGTTAGAGGCAAAAAAAAAAAAAAAAAAAGCCTGAAAGATAAAGTGAGGTGGGAAGAGAACCAGGGAAGTGGGACCTCATGGAATAAAGTCCAAACTCTTTAGCATGCACGCTACACTCCCTAGCATACCAGGCAATGGAACAGGTCACTCTGTGCTCTTAGCCAAACAGGACAACACTTATAACCCATTCTTTCTTAGCTGCATATAAGGTATCCTCTACTTAGAATCAATGCTCTAACCATCAACAACATGATTTACTTGGCAAATCCTTACTCACCATTTGGTCTCAGCTTTCATGGCACTTCCTCTGGAAGGTCTTCTCTGACTACCCATGGCTTTGTAATAATATGTGCCTCTTATATGCTCAAAGTGTTTCACATATTAAGTATCTTCTGAATACTTGGAGACTTTAATTTAAAAAATATTCTGTCACAAAGTATAGGAGTAATTAAATTTTTATGTTCAGGAAATTAAAATTCTTCTCAATGAGCAACAGATATATGGTTTTTCATATAAATCAGCCCAGGTAAGAATCGACTCATTATTGCTATTAGTGGACAGTTCTGAGTTATTAAGGTCATCGAGGCACCCATAAAGTTAGATGAAAAAGGTCATGAAAATACACTGTCAAAATCAGATGTGATTGAGTTTTCATTTTGGTTCATTTATTTTGTGGTTAATATATGTAGTTCACTAAAATCCCAAGATCTGTTTGGAATCTCAGTGTCTCCCATGATTGCATCGAGTAGGCTATTGTTAAGTGTGTACTTTCAGTATCTGTATCTGTGCTAGACAACTGGTGGGATTCTAAAGGATGCTATCTACTCTATACCATGCTGCTGTGGTTAATGACTGGGTCAAGCACTGGTAGGTGCTCCTGCCAAAAGCAATGAGAAGACAACCACACCTAAGAACATAAGAGCCAGCCCTGGCGCTGCTCCATCATGTGAGGCAATGATGAGCCACTAATTAAGTTCCCTCCAAGACCAGCTACACATTCCATGCCAAGAAATGGGGGAATTGGGAATGGCCTAGAGGCTGCTCTTAAGGTTCCCTGTACTTGACTACCGCATGTTTTCTTATAGTAATCTCCCATTACTTGGGGTAACAGAAGCATGCCTCTTATTTTTTATGCTTTATCTTTTATATCAGAGGGTCTAAGAAAACGAAATACTGGAGACATTCTGAAGCTTAAGCCAAATTCAAGAGAGGGCAAGAATAGACAGAGAGGTAAACAGGGAATTTTAAAAAGCTATCTAACCAATCAGGAAAGTCATTATTTTCTTCACACTATGTTGCTGCAAATTTGAAAGAAATAAGTTGCTATGAATCGAGATACATAAATTTAGAAGGGCTAGGCCAATTTAAATTTCTGGACTTGGGTACGAGTATTTATTTTTAAAATAAATAACACCCAATGAGAGAAAAACTTAATACCTTTGTTGGAGCTCCATTTCAAACCTTTATTTTAAAAAAATCCTATTTAATGTTAACGTTTGTTCAAAATACACATTCACCTATGAATGGCAAAATTATCTTTTGGTTGATACTCCTCAGCAGAAAATCTCTGTTAATTCTTAGATCTATTCAGTAATTATGAAAAATCCTTATACTACTGAAAGGGATGCCTCTATTAAAAGTCTTTTTTATTTCTATCTAGTTCTCCTTAAAATTTAGGAAAAAGGAAATGTTAATCTAAGCCTTAACTCTCTAGCGGAGTTGAGTATGCCTCTTGCCAAGGTATTATTATACTAAAATTTCTATTTAAAAAAAAAAAAAAAAAGTCAAGTCATCAGAAAAGCTACATGATTAGTGTAGATTAAAACTTAAGTTAAAAACTTTTGTGATCATGTAAAAACCAAAGAGCAGAACTATTCTGAAGAATCATTAGAGCAAAATACTGGTATCCTGTTTCCTCCATATTCTGAAAGGTAAAAAAGATCTGACAATCATGTCATCATGCTGCTCAGTAAAGAGATACATTTCTAGCTCAGTGGCCCAAATTCTCAACTTATTTTATAAAGTAAAAAAATAGGGTGAGAAGAATATTTATCATGTCAATTTATTTACAAGATCATTTGAAATTGTACAC